ATAATTTCTATATATAAAAGTTGCTGTGCTACTTTGGACATTTAACCTCTCAAGATACGCTTATCCATCTGCCAGGAGGAGACACTGATATAATCTGCTCTGTATCATAGACTTGTTATGACATTCACATATAATCTTACCCGCTGCTTCAAGCTGACTTCAGTTCAATGTGACTCTAATGGACAGGGTAGAACTGCTCCCCAGGTTTCCAAGTCCTCAAAGCTCTCGGGAGCAGGTGGCAACATCTTTTGCACAATGAGTGGCTTGTGGGTTCAAATTGCTCTATTTTGATTAGAAGTCTAGCACTTTTAAACACTGTCCCAACCAGGGCTTTGATAGTACTTATCCAGGAAAGCATTCTCAAAATTATGAAATTCTATCTCCCTGCTATTATTGAACAAAGACAGGAAGAGTTAAGAATAGGCTTCAATTAAAGATTAGTTGATATTTGCTTTCAGAACAAGAGATGTGGTTTCTCTTCCCAAATATGCTCTGCTTTGGCTAATATTAAAATTTGCTCCTAGTGCCCATGTTAGTGGAAAGGTGAGGAGAGAACACAACATGAAATGGGAAGAGTAGTGCACTATGCTGGAAACTCTAGAGAAAGACAGAGGGGAAACTGGAAGATGACTCAGACAGAAGAATCTATTCTTATTGTATACTCTGGATATTCCTAGTATATAGATGAATGATTCAAAATATGCTAATGATAAACTCTCATCAAATATTTATTTGCATAATTTTGCATCATTTAATTAAAAAGCATGCACTCCACAACTTATGTTCTTGTCTTTAGTATTGGTGTTAGCCCAAACCAGCAAGACACATTTAAATGACATTAAACCTCAATTAACACAGAATTTCTCAGAGTATAAGTTTTAACGTGGATCCAAGTATGACTTCTGCAAAGGAAGCCCTGCATTCAGAAGCTATGCGATATGTTCATTCCTCCTGTTAAGCTTTCACATTAATTCTTTAAAAAGCTGTATTTCAGCCCAAGCTTAACAAGATTCCATAGTATTAGTCTGAACTGTTTGCAAGCAATCTATCCCAGATGGTTAATTAGAAGACATTTGGTGTTTACTGCAAATTATTCCTGTTTCCTAATTCTAAGGCTGTCTACAATCTTGTATAAATTTCTTTATTAGTGCCTGATACAGTGCTCACCATATTGAAAAAAAAAAGCCAAACCTCTAAGCCTATTCACTATTGTAAAAGAAAATTTAAATAGACAACACTCAACTAGTTATAGAAGTTCCTGAACTAGTCATAGAAGTTTTCTTTACACTTTCCAAGAGTGACCCTGAGTCTGAAGCAGCATCAGCCTCAATCTATGTCTGCCAGACTAGATAATTCTGATACACATAGTATTAGTTTAATATGAACACAAAGACACAGACAACACTTAAGAACTTACTGTGATGAAACTGTAAGCCCTAGGCAATAATAAGGGAATAGTAAAGGGGAACCTTTCCTCAAATGACTTGAAGCTTTTAAATTAAAAAGAACCATCCCAATGGTATAGAGCTTATAGGCTATAGAGTTGATGTCACTAGCATGTTTTGTTTCAGGGGGTAAAGGCAGAACTGAAGAGGAAAACTTGTCTTGAATGAAGGCTGCAAGCGGAGTAGTATTGGGACATGAAAATTTCTAGTGGACTGATTTATCTGAAGTTAAATTTGAAAGAAAAACTTTTTGATGTTCATTTCATTGATAAAAAATAGTTTAAACTAGGAGTCAGATAAAAATTGTGGGCATGGAAAAATGACACTAGCAAGAAGAGTTCAAAAAGGTTTTTGACCTACTAGCAAGGACAGTGGAGTTCCACAGTCTTAGTAAGGAAGTAGAAAGAAAGAAAAGAAAGAAAGGAGCCCTGTTTGCTTTACATGTTGTGCTACTACTGAAAAGTCAGCAATTTGACTCTATCAACTGCATTGTGAGGATGGGTAGTCTCCTCCCATAAGGCCTCAGAAACCCAGTGTTGTTGATAGATGCCATCTAGTCGAGTATGACTCAGAGCGACCTTATGAACAACAGACCTGAGTCCTATCCTATCCTGTCCTATCCTCATAATATTGGATATGCTTGAGATCATTGCTGCAGTCACTGCCAATCCATCGCACTGGGAGAGGGGTGGGGGTGGGGTGTCTTCCTCTCTTTCTCTGACCCTCCACCTTTCCAAGCATGATGTCCCTTTCCAAAGAATAGTACCTCCTAGCAACATGTCCAAAGTATGAGAGATGATGCTTTACCATCCTTGCCTCTAAGAAGCAGTCTGGCTGCACCTTTCCCAAGACATCTATCTGCGCTTTTGACAGTATCCACGGGATATTCAATGTTGTTGTTGTTGTTATGTGCCATCGAGTCGTTTCCGACTCATAGCGACCCTATGCACAACAGCCCTAAACCCTGCTCTATCCTGCGCCAACCGCACTGCCTCTGACACACCCATCCCGATTACCCCAGTCACTGAATCGATCCATCTCATAGAGGGTCTTCCCCTCCTGCGCGGTCCCTCCACCCTCCCAAGCATGAGGTCCCTCTCCAAGGACCCGTCCCTCCTGGCAACATGTCCAAAATATGTCAGACGAAGCCCCAGAATCCTTGTCTCCAAGGAGTAGCTTGGTTTAATCCTCTCCAACATGAATCTGTTTGTTTTCCTGGCAGTCCATGGTACATTCAGTACCCTTCTCCAGCACCACAGCTCAAAAGCATCCACTCTCCTTCTGTCCTCCCTAGTCATTGGCCAACTCTCTGATGCATAACAAGCGATTGTAAATACCATGGCCTGTATCAGGCGCACCTTAGTCTCCAGAGAGACACTGTTGCTCCTGAGTACCTTTGAGAGGTCCCTAAAAGCAGACTTTCCCATCACGATACGCTTTTTGATTTCCTGACTGCTGGTGCCAAGAGTGTTGACTGTGGAGCCGAGCAAACTGAAGCTGTGAACACTCTCAATCTCTTCGTCATCCATCCTGACACTGCCAATTGGTCCAGTGGCGAGAATCTTTGTCTTCTTGACATTGAGCCTCAGTCCATACTGAAGGCTGCAGTCCTTGACCCTTCGCAGCAAGTGCATGAGGTCCTCCTCAGTTTCAGCAAGCAGGGTTGTGTCATCTGCATAACGCAGATTGTTAATAGATCTTCCACCAATCCTGATGCCACAATTCTCCTCATAGAGCCCAGCCTCTCAGATAATCTGCTCTGCATACATGTTGAAAAGGTATGGAGACAGGATGCATCCCTGGTGTACACCCTTCCCAATTTTGAACCATGCAGTGTTACCCTGCTCTGTTTTATTCAATACTCTTCTCTAATACTACCACTCAAAGACATCAATTCTTCTGTCATCCCTATTCACTGTGCAGCTCTCAGATGTACAGCAAGTTGTTGAAAAGACCATGGTCAGAATCAGGCATGTCTTAGCTTTTCAAACTGACAACACTGCTATTCAGTATTTTTGAGAGGTCCCTTGAGAGAGGAATTGCCCAAAGCAATATGGTTCCTGTTCTCCTGACTGCTGGTACTGACAGTGTTGATTATGAGATCAAGTTAGATGAAATCATTGCCAGCTTCAATATTTCCTCCATCTATCATGATGCTGCATGTTGGGTCAGTGGTATAGATCTTTTTTGATGTTGAGATGTAGTCACTGCTTTCAAGTCTGTAATCGTTGATCTTCTGCAGCAAGCATTTTATATCCGCCTCACTTTCAGTAAGCAAGATTGTGTCATTTGCAAAATGCCGGTTCTTGGTGAGTCTACCTCTGATTCTGATGCTGTATTCCTCTTCATAAAGTTCAGTTCCACAAATTATTTTTTCAGTATACAGACTGATTAGATATGGAGAACCTGACTCATATTCTTCCTGATTTGAAACCATGCAGCATTTCCTTGTTCAGTTCTTTATACCACATAATGAAAGTTTTGTTTCACTTGACAGATACTAATGAATGTCAGGAGTCTAGTTCCTGTCATCAGTGCTGTTCTAACACTATAGGAAGTTTTCACTGGGTATCAGCTCAAAGGCAGAAAATGCATGAGTAAGGAAATGGCTTTGAGTGCAAAGCAATGGTATTCTGTAACTTCCTAATGCTTCTTGCACTACAGGCAAATGTTGTGTTCTGAGCTTGACACATACACCAACAACGTCTAGGTATAGATTTCATACAAGCAAGATTAAGTGTTCTGGAATTCCCATTTTCTCAATGTTAGGCATAGTTTGTTACATTCCACATAGTCAAATGCCTTTGAATAGTCAATAAAACACAGAGAAATTCTTCTGGTATTCTCTGCTTTTAGCCAGCACCCAACTGATATCAGTAATAATATCCCTATTGCCATGGTTTCTTCTAAACCCAGCTTTAATTTCTGGCAGTATCCTATCAGTGTACTGTTAAAATGTTAGAATACATGAAAGCAGGGGGTTACTCAGATAATAAACAAATATAGAGATTTATCAAATCTTTGAAAGGTATAAAACAATCTTGTTTGAGTCTAAGAAGCACTCAGAGAGATGCAGCAATACTTTCATAAGGATTATAGCCTTAAAAATCCTATGATGTGGTTATACTTTTTCAGATAGGGCCACTGTGAGTTGGAATTAATAGCGATGGGCTAGAGGTTGAAGTTCAAATAGCTGAAGAAACTAACTCTGGTAACAGTGATGGAAATCTGATCACATCCATCCTAGTCAGCTTCAGGTACATTAGTATGTCTAGACAAAAAAGGTTTTAGTAAATCTTAAAATAAGAAAATCTGTGTCTAAGAAGAGATGATAACGACTTGGAGGCTTGTGAAGGACAAAAGTTGAAATTAGTGAAGAAATGTTTAAGAAGTTTAAAAGAAATTTTCAACAGAAGTTATATTTAGGAGAAAGTGTGCAATGCAAAGAAAATTTAAAAGAAATGTCAAGAAAATGTTGAAATAGTAATCTCTGACTTTAAATCATTCCCCCTTTTGTCTTTCTTCCTCCCTTTCTCTGTTCGTGTTTCTTCTCTGCTTTCCCTTTTCTATCTAACAATTAGAGAACCAATGAATTACATGTTCCTTTTGTCCTGTTTGCTAATTTTCCTTGGTGCCTGGTTCAAAGACATGCAAAGTACAGATATTCTCAGGAAATTGAAGTAAATGAGTGACAGATGGCAATGTTTGCAGCATAACTAAAAACAAAAGCTTAATTCTTGACTTGGAAATTACACTCTGCTTTTGCAAACAAATGAAATTACAGACTTGTGAGTTTAGATAAAGATACCGAAAACACATATTTTAGAGTGAAGAAAGGAATGTGATTTTGTTCTGGCTTGCATTATCTTTTATATGACTCATATAAACAAAAAATAATGGTGCTGAGAAATTCCACGGGGATTGCAGGGCACTAGTTAAGGGATATCAGCTGTCATACAGAAGAAGCAATCAATCAAACAGCAGAAATTGTCACATGGTAACTCATTGTTTGGAAATCAATGAGATACTTCCATAATCACATAGTATTAGATTACACAAGACCATGTACATTCTTTCTTTTTAAAATTTTTTAAAACCATATTCTGGATGTCACTGAATATATATTTCTATGTAGCATTATATTTAGTAATACTTTCAGAAGTGATCAAAGAGAGCATGTGACACAAGTTATTAGAAAGCACCTTTATAAATCGATCATTTACATGAGTAAAAGTTGAAATAATTTGTAGGTACCAGAGTTAACTGTCTCAAAACGTTGAGCCGTCCCAGATTTGAGATCAGGTATAGTTTGCACCCCCACTATCACAGGTGCCATAAATACGCACAGCTTCTGGTCAGTAAGTGAGCCCACAGAAAGGAAACACAATATGACTGACATTTACCTACACATGTGTCATGGCTTGCCTCAAAGCCTTCAGGGCAAGTTTTCCTAATAGTCCTTTTAGTCCTGGAGAGGGAGGTCCTGCTGTTTCTAGACTCAGAGTAGGAGCTGTAGAGATGTGAGTATTGTCTGTAATGCTGCGGAGGTTGATGGCTGTTTCGCACAGGGGAGAACCTCGCACGGTTATAGCTACTGTACCGAGCGCCATAATTGGGCAGCCTCTCCAATCCAGCGCAAGATTTTCCGTCCCCTAGTAAGTGTTGTCCTGGGGGACAGATACACTTGAAGCTGCCAGGGCTGTTGGAGCACTGATGTGCACAAGGGTTAGGCACTTGTTCACACTCATTAATGTCTGCTCGTGTGGCATGATTCATAAAAAAGAGAGAGAGAGAAAAAAGAAAAAAACATACATACATACATACACAAAACAGGAATACATAATCAGTCTATGAAACTGAGGACATTATGCGTCCTTCCAAAGCCAGGAAAATATACAGTAATTTCTACCCAGCTGATGGGAACCATGGCGAAAGCTTTAATTCCCCAGGTTTGGAAAACTGTTTATTAAGAGATTCTGTGTCACGCCCTCAAGATTGCTTCAAGATTCATTTGGAAATTCTTTTTTGGAGCAAGTGGCTCGAACACCAACCACTAGCTCTGGGAACCCATCCTCCTTTAGCTTTGAGCTGTGATGGCCTCAAGACCCAAAAAACTTGCCTTCATGCTTGTCTTCTTATCTGAGAAAAAAACAACTTGGATGCTTTATCAGGATAGGCTAATGCGTCAAAGAAAAGTCCATAATTTTAAGTATCATATCAGCATCTTGAGTCTTGCATACATAATACATAAGTGTCTGAGTTCACCCAGGAAGGAGCATCCTAAATGGTTTATATGTATGTATCTTCCTCTTGGGGGCAAAAGTTCAAAGAAATAGTGGAATCCTTTGAGAAATTAATAGAATTAACATTAAAATGCAACTACAAAAAAAATCTCAACAGTATCTCTTAATAGAATAATATCTATAAATACTTAAATACCTATAAAGATATTTCTTAACCAGTTTTTTCCCTTTTGACAAATAGCTCTTTCAGATGATTTATTAATTTTCCTAATTAGTAAAAAAGTTTGGATGTGTTACATTTGCTTTTATGTCATTTTGGTAAGTATGTAACTGCCTTCATGAAGAAGGCCAGGGGGTGTGATGAATACACATGCAACTCTTTATCAGTGGTTCAAATCCAACAGTGATTCTGTGGGAGAAAGAGAGGCTTTTTTTGCACTTTTGTGAACATCACAGCCTTTGAAACTCTATGGGGCAGTTTTTCTCTGTCCCATAGTATTGTAATCAGTCAAAATTGACTTGATGGCACTCGACAACAAAAACTACTTTAATGCTTCTTTATTTTTATAAAGACTTGGTCTTTCTGTATTCACCTGTCTTACCATGGTTTCTACCTCCACAAAGCAGCAAAAGTGTGTCCTAATGTAAATAAAATAATTTCATCTGGCTCCTCTGCTTAAGAACTTGGAAGTCTTCCTATGATACCTTTAGAACAAAATCTAAATTTTTCATTATGGCTTCAATTGTCTAGGTTTGCTCCAACAATAGAGAGCTTCTCTCTCAGGAACTTTGACTATCTCCTCAGCCTGGAATACACTTGCCTAGACCTTCTGCAGTTGGGTTTGTTTTTTTTTAATTTTGTTTAATCCTTTGAGAGGCTGCCAGTATCCCAGTGCCACTTCCCTCATGTAGGTTACGAGGTTACTTGTCTTCTTTTCCTTCTCTGGCTTTTCTTAAAGTACTTATTCCTACGAGAATTACTATATTTGTTTTGTAATTATTGTTTCTGTTCACTAAATTAAAATTCTATAAGAGCATATAACTTGTATGCTTTGTTTACTACTGGAATTCTACAACTAGAATATTGACTGGCAAAAAAAAAAAGAAGGCTCAATAAAGATCTAATGAATTAATGGTAAAATGATGTGCCAAGTCAAACCATTAACAGAACATGAAGGGTTATATGGGAAAAGTCTTGTTGTATCCAGAGAAATCAGAGTTCAAAAGACAATGAGATATACATTCTGTGGGTTGGAGAGCAGAACACAGCATATTTCTAGTTTGCAATTAATCATAACATTGATCACAATCAGTACACTCAAACTCATTGCCATCAAGTTGATTCCAATTCATGGCTACACTCCACTGGATTTCTGAGGCTGTATCTTTCTGCGGAAGGAGCCACTGGTGAATTAGAACCACGAGAGACATGTGGTTTCTTGGTTAGCCACCAGAGCTTCTTTTACATTGGTCTCTAGTGCCTTTAATCTTCCATGGAATGATTAGTTTCATATGTAAGAATATTGGTAGAATTACACATTTCATTTTTATTCTCTCTTTTGAATTTAAAAAAAATTAAAATTAATAATCAAGACCAAGCATAATGTTGTTTTCAAAAGGAAAAAAAATAACCCTAAGATAAAGAGAAATCATTTCTTCTTAAACATAAATTCACAAAAATGATCAAGTGGAAAAAAATATATTTCTATTTTTATGCATGAATTTATACTCTGGGGATATATCTCTGCAAATTAGAAAAGTATATTAAAATGAGGATAAAAACTAAATTCTCAAATCTATTACTAGAGTAGCATGACAGAAAACATGAATAAGTAGAATTTAAAAAAGTAAGTTATACTATAAAAATAATTTTTGTAAGCAAAAGGCAAATGAAAATTTTTAATCTCTTCAAGATAGTGGCCCTGCCTTCTTGTTTCACTTTTAAGTCTAATTACTTCCTAATATTCAATTGCTAATTAAATTTCAAAAGAGTTAGTATGTTTTATTCTCATGTCACTGATTAAGATGTAAAATGATACATACGTAGAATACTACACTGATGGATTACTCACTTTTGCTATTAGAATAACATATCTAGCATAACATTAATTTCAATACTTGCTGTGTGAAAGGACTATGCTAGGGACTGTAAAAACACTAACTGTATGGAAGAATATGTAATAAATAATTTGTAGACAACCAAGATGACTACTCTGTAAAGCACAGCCTGAAATTCAAGAGCTCATTATTTCAAAGACCATGTTTTTTTTTAAACTTAAATCTTTAAATTGACAAATTGTGCAACTACATATAATTTGAAGGACTTGTTCTGTGATTACAAATGCAGCATTGATTTTTTTAAAAAAGTATATGGTTACTGTCTTACAGATATTTCTACTATTTCTACTTTTTTATTATCTTTCTTCATATTCAGTGATAGCTGAGATGAAAACAAATAAATCATTGGGAGAATTGAGTGAGCTATTATTGTAGTAAATGATACTGTGAGCAGTAAATGAATATTGAGTTCATAATTTAATCTTTCACTCTTAAACCAATTATTTACACACTTAGGATATATCTGTGTAAATATTTCTGTCATGTTTAAAGACAGATGCTAAGATAAATCCAGATAAGGAAATTGTCACAGCAATGATACAACAGGCTCACTTTGATATGTGTAGTATCTTGTAAGTAATCATTATTATCGTGAAAAAGATCAGTCTAAATTTAATTCAATATGATATCTCTGAAGAAGTAATGCAAATTAAGTTGTGTATTACTTAACTTACATACTTCTAATTGGGTCAAGAGGGCATGTGAAGATAGTGATCCTAGGGAACTTCATAATTAGCTTCGTTACTTAGCAAGAGTTGCAGTTAACTTACCTATGCAGGGTCTTCCAACTCCTTGAGATCGATAACCTCTTGGACATACACAGCGATAGCTGCCTCTTGTATTTTCACATATCTGATTATATCTGCATTGATGGGTTCCATCTTTACATTCATCAATATCTACAGATACAGAGGTAACAAAAAGTATTAATGCTTCCTCTTTCAAATGCCAAGTTATTACATGCATTTATAATAAATCTTCTGTAGCAATTACCAAAGGTTGCATTTCCCAGCAATAGGGGAGACCATATCAATTTAAGATTTAAGAGAGAAAAAAAAATCCAACATCCAAAGTCATTTTTAAGCTCTTCCCCTTATGAACTGATTCTTTTTCCCCCTCTTCCCTAATAAGGAAAAAGGTGTTATATTCATATTTTTCTTTTTTGGACATCTTATTTATAAGATGACTTATTCTAGTGACTCTAGTAAGTTTGCTTACACAGATCTGCAGCAATAATGTTATGTTGATTCTAATTGCTAGTTCTTATTTCCAGCGACTAGCTGAACATTGCTACCTCTGTGATGACCAATAGTTCAAACTCAGTAAGCCTTCAGTTTTTAAAAATTCTAGCTTATTTGTTTCTGATAATGGAACTCCTCTTTTCCTGTATACCTGCTTGCAAACATTAGTCTTCTTTGACTTCTTACATTACTTAAGAAGACAAGCTGCTTCAACAAACCCATATACCCCCACATTTTCAATCCCAATTTCATTTTTCTGGATTTTTAGTAAATTGTTTTAAATCAGCTTTTAGCCATTCAATTAACCTTTGCAAATAATGTAATACTCAATTACAGCACTTTCTTTTAAAAAATGTGTATTTGCATATTTGCATGATGCCAAGATGGGTGCTATCCTTCACTCTCCAGAAAACCTGACTGCCACTGAGTCAGAACTGACTCATTGCTGACTCTTATGAATTTCTGTAGCTATAACACGCATGGGAGGAGACCGCCTATCTTTGTCCCATGAAACAGTTGGGAGGATCTGAACTGCCAGAGAGGTGTGGTCTTTGGGTTAGCAGCTCAATTCCTTATAGATGATGCCACAGAGCTATATTTACAAATTCAGAAAAAAATTACTTATAACTATTAGAGAAAATGGAATCTTTGAAATCTGATATTCCAATTGCCCTAGCTATTTTTAATTTTACTTTATTAAGGAAAACTTTTAAAATAGAAAAGTGTTATGAGCCTTCATGTACTTCAACAAGTAATACACTATCAATCTTCTTTCCATAATTATATAGCTCTCACCCTTTTGTTACCCTCTTAGATTCTTTTGAAACAGACTCAACACATTTTTATCTTAATTAACACATATTATAGAATTATTTTAAAAATATCATATTATAAAAATGAGACACTGAAATGTATACTGCTATATAATCTTGAGACTTATTGAAAGTTATATGACTGTCAAAAGGAAAGACTGAGTTGAACATTTCTTATACTTCCTACTCTACTCATTAATATTCAGTCTATGACCCTATTTAAATGCAGTCACATCTACAGAACCTTGAAAGGCCCTCCTGTAAGATATGACCAGTTCTCCTGGGTACGCTCACACAATTTAATACTACCTCTTTTATGATATTTTATTTTGTCTTACAGTATCATTTTTTCCTCTTGGTGACCAAGGGACATTATTCAGTCTACTATAGAATTCCATGAGTATATAAAATCAGTAATAGTGTCTGTTTTGCTGCTATAAATCTTGGATCTCGCTCTGTAAATTAGGGGGAATCTACTTTATTCCTTGATCATGAATTTGACAATTAAAAATAGTTACTTCTAAAATAATTATTATTTTGGCTTTTAAGTCTTTCCCATAATACTCAATCAGATATGAGTATTATGGTTAGTACAGGAATCCAGAATTAAGGTTGCATAGTGAAGTGGACTCAGGGCGGGGGGTGGGGGGAAGGCATGGGGGAATTGTATACCAATGAAGGAATTTTTTTTCTTTTTCTTTTTTGAGAGGGGAGCAAACTGGTGGGGAGGGATGGGCAGGGAGAAAAGTACGGCAATGAAAGAATGGAAATCCAAAACCTCTGTGTTTATTAAAATTAATAAAAAAAAACAAAAAAAAGTCTTTCCCAACAAAATTTTTCTAACTCCTTATATGTAATTCTAAACATATGTGCCAAATTTCATGTCAGAGGCCATGTGAGACAACTGTGGACTGCATGGAAAGTAAACTATTTAAGTCCACTATCTAGTTAGTAGAGGCTCAAAACTGTCATGATTCTCTATGGTGAGTTTCCACTTCTTGGTACAGTCATAACTTCAAGACCCACAGCACACTCATACTAAAAGCTGGAAGCTAAAGTTTATGAAGAAAAGAAATATTTCCTTGTTAGATAAAATGTAATCATTATCTTTAGAATTAGATATCTTACTTGGCTTGTAGATGATCCCCGTGCCTGAAATAGTCATACACTTACCAACGCAGGTTCCATTTTCTGCCTTGGTCATTCCATTTGGACAAAGATCAATGCACTTATATCCACCCCGGGTGTTCTTACAGTGCTGATCCGGTCTGCATACATTCTGTCTACATTCGTTCACATCTTGATCAAAGAACAAAGGCAATATAGACTGAAAGACTGATTTCTTCTATTTTTCCAAATAATACCTTGAGATTTAGGAATATTACTTCTTAAACAAAGAAAGATCTTCCTTGAATATTTAAGATTAAGGCTGTTGTGATTGTTGTTATGTGCCATCAAGTCATTTGTGACTCATAGTGACTCTATGTACAAGAGCCCTAAACCCTGCTCTATTCTGTGCCAACCTCACTGTCTCTGACACACCTACTCCTATTATCTCAATCACTGAATCAATCCATCTCATCTAGGGTCTTCCTCTCTTGTGCCATTCCTCCACTCTCCCAAACATGATGTCCCTCTCCTAGGACTGGTCCCACCTTGCAACATGGCCAAAGTATGTCAGATGAAGCTTCAGAATCCTTGCCTCCAAGGAGCATTCGGCTTCACCCTCTCCAAGACAAACCTGTCTGTTATCCTAGCAGTCTGTGGTATATTCAACACTCTTCTCCAGCACCACAGCTCAAGGACATCATTTCTCTTTCTATCATCCCTAGTCACTGTCCAGCTCTCTGACACATAGCACACAATTGCGAAGACTATGGCCTGGATCAGGAGCACCTTAATTTCCAGCCTGCCATTGTTGCTCTTCAGCACTCTGGAGATGTGCCTGACAATTGATTTTCCCAATGTAATTTGTCTCTTGATTTCCTGGCTGCTGTTACCAAGAGTGTTGATTGTGGAGCCAAGTAAACTAAAACTGTTAATAATCTCAATCTTTTCACCATCTATGATAATGCTGCTTAAGTGTAATCACATATATGTCACTTTATTTTAAAATAATTGATAGGAGTTAAAACCAAAACCAAAATAATGCTTTATAGACCTGATAGCCATGCGCATCCTTCCACTTCCTCCAGCTCTGGTGGCCTAGGGGCAAGCATGGCAATTTCCAAGGCAAGTGGTTCGAATCCACCAGCTGCTCTTTGGGAGAAAGATGGGCAATCTCTTCCTGTGTAATTAACTGTCTCTGAAAACCCACTAGAGGGTCAGCTATGGATCAGTTCTGATTTGATGATACACAACAACAAAACGCACGCATGCACACATACGCTGTTGTTATGTGTTTTCAAACAGAAACTGACCCCTAGCTGACCGTCTATACTAGTAAGTTTTCAGAGACTATAAACCTCGTGGGAAGAGGCTGCCCAGCAATATCACCTGGATACAGTTTGAACTGTCTGCCTTCCTTTGGATTGGCAGCCAACTTCTTACCACTAGGCCTCTAGAGTTACAGAAATATTTATTTAAATACACAAACATACACACACACACACATATATATATATATATGAAACATATATATATTTACGAATACATATTTACAAATATATATTTGTAAATACATGAATACTGTATGTGTGCTCCACAGATAATATATGTATGTGCATACATGTATATATTATATTTTATAAATATAATGGGAAAAATGTGGATAGAAAGATATGTAATTAGAAAATGAAACTACCATAGTGTAGCATTTATCTCTACTTGTTCTTTGCATAATGACCCTCATAGTGCATAGGTGTCGATGTCCTTCATATATGAATCAAGCTCAGGGCACAACATTTGCTTGTAGTATAAGAAGCATTAAGAAGTTATAGAAATGCCATTGCTTTGAACTCAAAGCCATTTCCTTACCCATGCATTTTCTGCCTTTGAGCTGATACCCAGGTTCACATCCACAGTGAAAACTTCCTATCGTGTTAGAGCAGCGTTGATGACAGGGACTAGACTCCTGACATTCATTAATATCTGTCAAGTGAAACAAAACTTCCATTATATGGTATTAGGAAATGTGGCTTAATTTATTCCAAATAGTTACCATTTAAATGATTTTTGAGATGATAAATAATTGAATTTATTCAGTTGATATTCAGAGGGAATTTCTAGAGAAGGCATCTCTTTTCAATATGCTTCAAAAAGGGATAATTTACTAATAACCTGGAACAATACTGTTATAATAGTCTTTCATTTCAAGTAATTTGCCATTTATCTCCCACTCCTGTTGCTAGAAACATTTAGCCTTGGAATGTGGTTTACAGATTGAGATGATGAAGATAGGAGGAAAGGGAAAAAAGACATTTCATAATATCTTTTAAAAGAGATCTTTCTTTCTCATTCTTGTTCTTTTAGCTCAATGTTGTTGTTATGTACTGTTGTACAACTCATAGCAACCGTGTGAACACTGGCTCTGAACCTTGCTCTATCTTGAGCCCACCTCACTATCTCTGACACACCCGACCTCATTGCCACAATTATTGTGTCAGTCCATCCCATCCAGGGTTTTCTCTTGTGCTGACCTTTTACCATTCCAAGAACCGGCCTCTCCTGACAACATGCATAAGTATGTGGGATTGAGTTTCAAAATCTTAGCCTCCAAGGAGTAACTTGATTTCACCCTAAGAAAGACCTGTTTGTTCCTTTGGCATACTTTTATCCAACACCACAACTCAAAGCTATCAATTCTTCTTTTGTCGTCTGGAGTCACTGTCCATCTCTCAGATGTACAGCAAGCAATTGAAAAGATCATGGCTTAAATCAGGTACACCTTAGTCTTCAGATGACATTGTTGCTCATTATCACTCTGTAGAAGTCCTTGGACATAGATTTTCCCTGTACAATGACAATGATCTCTCCAAAGTACCGAGGAACAATGATGTTAGAAGATAAGATGCACCTGATTCAAGTCATGGTCTTTTCAATCACTTGCTATACCTCTGAATGCTGAACAATGAACAGGAAAACAGAAGAAGAATTGATGCATTTGAGTTCAAATATTTTGGACATGTTGATTGTTGTTAAGTGCCATTGAGATGAATATAACTCATAGTGACTGTGTGAACACAAGATATAAATCATGTCTTATCCTGCGTCAACCTTATAATTTCTGATATACTTGATCCCATTACAGTAGCCTCTGTGTCAGTCTATCTCATTGAGGGTCTTCCTCTCTTTTGCTGACCCTTCACCTTTCCAAGCATGATGTCTTTTTCCAAGGAACAATTTAGCCTATCCTAACAACATGCCCAAAGTATGTGAGAAGAAGCTTTATCTTTGCCTCCAAGGAGCACTCTGGTAGCCCTTTCTCCAATACATATACGTTTGTTCTTTTGATAATTGATGGGACACTCAGCACTATTATCCAACACCATAGTTCAAAGGTATATATACTTCTTCTGTTATCCTTATTTATTGTCCAGTTCTCAGATGCACAGCAGGTGACTGAAGAGACCATGACTTGAATCATGTGTACCTTAGTCTTTAAGCTGCCATCATTGCTCTTCAATAATTTTGAGAGGTTCCTGACAATACACTATTCCAGCGCAATATGTCTTTTGATTTGACTGCTGGTATCCACTGTGTTGACTGTGGATCCAAGCAAGATGAAATCATTGATGACTTCAGTCTTATTTCTATCATGACGTTGTCTATTGGCTCAGTGGCCCAAGATCTTTGTTTTCTTGATGTTGAAACGTAATTCATATTGCAGGCTGTAGCCTTTGCTCTTCTTCTTGCTTCAGGTCCTCCACTTTCAGCAAATACAGTTGTGTCATCTGCACAACGCAGGTTGTTGATGAGTTTTCTTCTGATTATGATACCACACCCTTATTCATAAAGTCCAACTTCTCAAATGATCTGTTCAGCATATAGTTTGAAAAGATATGGAGAGAGCAGCCTGCCAGATGGTGCAGCATAGCTGAGGATAACCAGGGCCATCTCCAGACTCCGAGCAGACAGCCAGTCTCAAGTACACTGCTATAGGAGAGGCTAATCTTTGGAAAGGGACATAATGTGTGGAAGGTAAAGGGTCACTGAAAGAGGGGAAGAACTTCAAGGAGTTGGACTGAGTACAGTAACGGGTTCAAGTGTGTGAGAGATTATGAAGATGGCACTGGAAGGGACATGGTTCAGATCTGTTGTTCATAGGGTTGCTATGAGTTGAATTCAACTTGACCACACCTAACACCCACAACAATAACTGTTGGAAGGAGATTGCCGAGTTTTTCTTGCTAGCTCTTGCTAGCTTGTCTTAGTCTGGAATGTCTACTGCAACCTGCTCACTCTGGGTGACTCTACTGATGTTTGAAATACCAGCGGCATAGTTTTAGTATAACAGCAATATACAAGATACTACAGTATGACAACGTGACAGATGGGTGGTGTTTAAGAACAGTCCTTATGTTAGGGCCCTGCCACCCATCCTCCTCACCAAGATAAGAACTGTGCCCCACCAGTTTTTTACTTCTTTGTTGTCTGCCATTTTTCCTATAACTCTACAAACATTACCAAACCCTTCATATCCTAGCAAAATCTTTCTCTCAAGACTTCATGGGGTGGGGGGGGGAGTGGGACAAAACCAAATAAAACAACAAAACCACACTTAAACACTTAAAAAAAAAAGACTTCATTAGTCTCAAGCTTCTGCCACTTCTGTATTCTCTTACAAACCATTCAAAAGAACAGCAATTTGATTTAGGCTTTTCATGTCCTTACCTTACATTCCATTACAAAGACATCATTGCCAATGTCTTTTATATTTTTGTGCTTATTTTTTATTTGATCTCTCAAGTTAGTATCTTAAAATCCACTCATATATTTATATAAATTTTTATATAAATTTTCCTTTTCTCCCAAATTTTCCTTTTAACCTCACTTAAATTCTCTGATAAAATAAAATGGTCTTTTTGTTCTCCTGAGCTTTTCCTCATTAAACTAAAATGAATCTCTTTAATTCTGTCCAAACTCTTGATTTTTCTGGAAATTATCTACAATGCAAACTTTTAAAAAGAACTCCCTATGTTTTTCTTGCCTCTATTCCTTGGTGGTAACTACTATTTTTTTTCTTTCTCCGTAGACTTGTCTATTCTGGACAAGTCTATTCTAGACAAGTAAGATTAGACTATATTGGTCCTTTTGTGTCCGATTCATTTCACTTAGCATAACATTTCCATGATCCATCCATATGGTAATGTCCACCAGAATTTTATTTCTCTTTATGGATAAAGAATATTATATCATATGTATGAATTTAACATATTTTGTTTGTTTATTTATCTGTTGATGAACATTGGTGTATGAGCTTCTGGGTTTCTGGTTTTTGTTTTGTTTTAGTCTATATCTATGAATAGAAGATTATATACTTTAAAAAGGATTGTTTTTAGTAAAGCTCATTTCTTAATTTTTTTTTAGCTTTGTCTACCTTTTATCCTCCTTGCCTCCCAAAGGCAATTTACTCAGTAATCTAATATAAATCTTAACATTTTCTCTCTCTCTAGATTGAAATATCTAGCTAGATCTCTGGTTCTTTACTGCTACAAACATATAAATACACAAATTCAGTCTTTTCTGTGTCTACTACTTGTTTTCCAGTTACATATACTTTTATACACTCTTTCTTAATACCCCTCATGGCAATCCCTCCAAGACAAACATTTGGACTTCAAATACCACTCTACTTATTCTCTCTAATTACTGGTAGGCATTCAGGCTTTTTTAATATACTGCTTTCCTCTTTGTCAAGCCTCTCCCCTTGGAGTTTATAAGGAATGGTTTGTTCATGAGACTAGTCATCTTCATTATTATTAGTATCAAATGTTGTTGTTGTTATTATGTGCTGTCGAGTCACTTGTGACTCATAGCAACCCTATGTACAACAGCCTTAAACCCTGCCCTGTCCTGTGCCAATCACATTGTCTCTGACACACTCACCCTGATTACCCCAGTCACTGAATTACTCCACCTCATAGAGGGTCTTCCCCTCCTGTGCTGTCCCTCCACCCTCCCAACCATAATATCCTTCTCCAAGGACTGGTCCCTCCATACAACATGTCCAAAGCATGTCAGACGAAGTCTCAGAGTCCTTGCCTCCAAGGAGCAGCCTGGTTTAACCCTCTGCAGAATGAATCTGTTTGTTTTCTTAGTGGTCCATGGTACACTCAATACTCTTCTCCAGCAGCACAGCTCAATTCTCCTTCTATCCTCCCTAGTCACTGTCCAACTCTCTGACACATGACAAGTGATTGCAAAGACCATGGCCTGTATCAGATGCACCTTAGTCTCCAGAGTGACACCATTGCTCTTCAGTGCTTTGGCGAGGTCCCTAACAGCAGACTTTCCCGTCTCAACACGTCTTTTAATTTCCTGGCTGCTGGTGCCAAGAGTGTTGATTGTGGAGCCTAGCAAACTAAAGCTGTGAACAATCTTAATCTCTTCATCCATCCGGACGTTGCCAATTGGCCCACTATGAGAATCTTTGTCTTCTTGATATTGTGCCTCAATCCATATTGAAGGCTGTAGTCCTTGACCCTCTAGGTAGGTACTAATAATTAAGATAAAACAAGATAAAGCAAGGCCTCTATTTTTATACCTTGACAACTCAGCCCATCAGAGGTTCTCCGGAAGCCGAGTCCACAACGGACCACACAACGATAGGATCCAATGGTGTTGTCACAGTCCTGGCCCGCATGGCAAGTGTGCCCACCCAAAGCACACTCATCAATATCTGCAACAAAGAGAGTCATTCAGCTGAGGTGTGTGAAGAAAATCTAGCCTATGATCCAGCTGTGAAATAGGAATAAGAACAATCATGAAAGACTTGAAAACGACTGGGTCATTTGAGGTGCAATAAATAGCTGATCACTCACAGCTCCAGGGTGTTGATAGCTTCTGTCTGAGACAGACTGACAAGTTAGACCACTTATGATTTGTTGTGGTTGAGGACTGTTGAGTCAGAACCATACCATAGCTGACCCACCAGAAACAGCCACATAGAAAGAAGGAAAGTGCCCGTCCTTTTCTTGCAGAGCTGTTGGTGGATTCGAACTGCCTGCACTTGGGATTGCATCGCAGGTTTTTACCACTAGACCACCGGAGTTCCTTACTTATAAATTAAGAGACATTAAAAAAAATTTCTTTCTGAAATTTGAGCTTTCTCAGCTGTAAAATCTAGACAATAATGCTCATTAGAATCACTTTGAAAAATAATGAAACTGCATACATAGTATCCCATGAAAGTTTCCCCCCTCCCCTCCTATTCACCCTCTTGTTTGAATTTTAAATAAAACTTCCTGGGTACAGAAGGAGAAGCCCATATTCTTTTAAAAGTTTGATTTCTTTCTCAAATTAGATGTTTATGTTATTGCTGTGTGTTGCAGAGTCGGAACCAACTCATAGTTTACCCACCAGTGGGTTTTCAGAGACAGTGAGTTGCATGGCAGGTGACTGCACGTCTTTGTTTTGTGGAGCAGCTGGAAGATCTGAATTGTGTGTCTCTGAGTAGGCAACATAGCTCCTCACCACTAAGCCACCAGAGCTCCCTCACACACAAATCTAATTTTGGAGGATACATAGAGTTGATAGCAAAGTGGCTTTTTGCTTCTCTCCCTCCCTAAAATGTTCCTAACCTTCCATCAGGAACGTGCAATCTACTTAATCTCTTTGTGTTCATATTGCTGAATACCACTGAAGCAACACCAACTCACAGAAATCCTATCCATCTGTCCATAGGATTTCCTAGGCGGTAAATCTTTTATGGGAGCAGGTTGCCAGATCTTTTCTCCTGTAGTAAGCCCTAACTACACATCTTATGATCAGCAGTCACCAGGGCTCCTTCTTACTCTCTTTATAATCTCTTCATTCATTAGTTTTGTCACTGTTAAATAAACATGGTTGACAGACATGCCTGCCTCCTTGAAGGGTTGCAAGGACTGAATGAATTAGGGCAGTGTACCTGCTTTTTGATTGTCCCATTTGGAGGCAGTGTGTGAGCAGTGTTTTTTCTTCCTTACTTGCTTAGTACCATGAAGACCCATTGTGCCTATTGCTGGGGTTGGGGCAGTGTAGGAAAAAGGAAGATGAATTGCACATTTTCCCAATGTCAGAGAATGCTTTTGTCATGACTACAATATGTTTATTAGACTTAAGCTTACAAATACCTTGGCAAGTTCTTCCATCCACAGCTATGGTGAAGCCTTTTGGACAGGAACAATAATAAGTTCCCATGGCATTGTGGCAGGTGTGGGAGCAGGGATTCCGCTCTGCACATTCATCTTCATCTGAAAGAAGAGATCAAGGGACCAATCAGCATGTCAAGTCCCTCCCTTTTCATGAATCACTAACCTCATCACCACTGAGTCAGAATCAACTCAGAGTTGACCCTCAGGCAGGTGTCTGAGGCTATAAATCACACAGGAGGAGATTGTCCATATTTCTTCCTCTGAGAAGTTGGTGGATTCAAACTTCCAGAGAAAAGAAAACTTTGTGGTAGCAGCAAAATTCCCTGTGGACTACATCACCACAGCCCTGTAGGACGTACTAAAGACAGTAAAAATAGCCACTTATGGAGGTCAATGAATTGAATGAAACAAAACAGAAAATGCTTCAATATCACCACATGGAAGCACTGGGTAAAAATTAATTTGAGGTTTCTAAATGATTTCTTATAATGATTAGATGTTTAGAATATCTTCTAAGACAATGAAGATAAATTCAAAATTCATTGCCCTCAAACTGGAACTGACTTATCGCTGACCACTCGGCTTCCAAGGCTTTAAGCAGCATAAAGAAGAGATTGCCCATCTTCCTCCTGCAAAGTCATTGTTGGATTTGAACCACCAGAGAGGTAAGGCCTTGGGTTAGCAGGACAACTCTCTGGGGATTATGCCACCATGATGTTGTTGTTGTGTACTGTCTAGTCAAAATCCACCCATAGCTGACCCTCCAGTGGGTTTTCAGAGGTAGTTAATCAAACAGGAGGAGATTGCTCATCCTTCTCTCATGGACGGTGGCCTCGAACTGTGTGCCTTGGAGATTGCAGCACAGCTTCTTGCCACTAGGCCACAAGAGCTTCATGTGCCACCACAGGCCCTTTAACAGGTCATTTAAAAAAAATAAAAACTGATGATAGCAAACATATATTGACCATTTACCTGATTGAATTAAATCTTCACAGAACTCGCAGGAGGTAGATTTACTATTTTAATTTGTCAATGATAAAATAAGAACAAAAAGGTTAAATAAATTTGTCCAAGGTCACACAGACCATGCTTAGCATTTGGGACTGAACTTGAAGGAAAGTTTCTGAAGACTGTCTCTTGTTACCACAAAACTACATTGCATTTAGCTGCTAGGGAAAGAAAGCACTGTGGAATGAAAAGTGGACTACCCTAGTTAGGAAGCTCTGGTGGCCTGCTGGTAAGAATCTGCACTGCAATCCTGAAGGTATGTGGTTCAAATCCACGAGCTGCTCTGAGGGAGGATTGGCAATTTCCTCTTGTGTCATTAACTTCCTCTGAAAACCCTCTGAAAGGTCAGCTATGGATCGGTTCTGACTTGATGGTACATAACAACAACAACAACAACATAGGGAGCTCTAGGTGGCCTAATGGTTAGGAGCTGTGTTGCCAACCCGAAGTTATGCAAATCTACTAGCTACTCTAGGGAAAAGGATGGACAATCAACTCTCATGTGATTTATTCCTTCTGAAAACCTACCTACCAGAA